GTGTTTGGGCACCACTGGGTGTAGTCCTCATATTGTCAGAGCAAAAGCAATCTAAAAACATTCAGTCTTACTGCACTTAAAGAAATTAGCATTCTGGTTGAAAGCTTGGAGCAGTTACAGAATTTCTGGAACTCATTTGAGGGAAATGAAGCCACAAACAATTAGAAATAATATTCTTGATGCTAGTAACAGCTGGTAGTGTTGTGTGAAGAGTACACCAACAGGTAAGGACCTAATTAGGCAGCGACAGGTCTGATAATGGAAAAGGATTTTGTTGTAAAGCCTGGGGGGGCCCTTCAGGCAGATACTCTGCTGAACAAGAAAATCACATGCTTTCTTCACAAAACTTCCTTTCAGGAAATGTATCGTGACAATCTAAAGAACAGAAGTTTCTTTTTTTCAGTGATTTGTCCTGAAAAATGTTGCAGTGTTTTGAGATCAAGTGCAGCCTTTTGTCGTCTTTGTGTAATCAGAGGATGAGGGCAGATTTGCTACTTGCTTCAGTTGACAGTTGAGCTCTTTGGGGAGTTCTAGTACAATCCTGCAGGTACTACAGTACATGACAACACAGCTTCAGTGCATTAAAGGGCCTTGTCTCCAGTCAGCTTATTAAGAGTGTGTGTGAGAGACACTTTGTGCCGGGCTTGGTGACAACAGAGTGGGCAGATTCTAACACGCCACCGTCTCCCCCAGTGTCCCGGACAATGATTTATCAGGTGTTGCATTTCAGATGCGCACCTCGCTAAGTGATCGAAGCAACGAGGAGTTTCCTCTGGAGTTGTGCTATTTACAGCAATACCAACCTGTGGTCGTTTGAAATGACGGCATGTTATCATTAAAGCACAGAATTATCATGTTCAGTACATTTCAGGATCCATGTCATAAAAACATCATGGCTGTTTGCTTGATCATCTATAATACAGGCTGTTACAGCATATGTCTAACATAGTTATGCAGCACATGCAAGGGTGCAAGAACTACTCTGATTCTTTATTTAAATAAAAGTACCACAGTGTAAAACTACTCTGTTGCAAGTAAATATAGGTCCCCATGGCAAAACTCATTATTCAAAGTGCAAAAGTATTCACATCAAAATATATTCAAAGTACCAAAAGTATAAGTACAGATGCATTATTATGTACATCACTTTATTGTTGAGTATTGTGTAAACACATTTTAACTACCCTATAAGTTGTTTTGAATCTAATAATTATAAGTTGAAGTGCTCTACTGCTGGGAATCATGTGCATTTTCTACCCAAGATCAACAAAGTTTTATAATTATACTGTATTTTGTTTTATCAATCTGATTCTGAAAACTAACTAGTAACTAAATGTATTAAAAATAAATGTAGTACAGTAAAAGTAAAATGTTTGCCTCTGAAATGTGGTTAAGTATAAAGTAGCAGAAAACAGATACTTAGGTAAATACATCAGAACTGTACTTAAGTACAGTACTTGAGTATATAGTTACCTTCCACCTCTGAGTACATGACTGATGGACTTGTGTGGGACAGAAACAGTTGGTTGGTTAATTGATCAACAGAAAATAATTGTTTGTTCTTAAAATGACATCACCTCATGCTGTGGCTTGTAGTGGGTATTTTTCACCATTTTCTTACTTTTTAAAGACTAACTGATCAATTAACCAATAAAAATAATCATTAGTTCCATGGAAGGTCGTTAGATAAACACACCAAGCGGTTTTCAAGACAAACTGACATATTTCCATCTACCCTTATTCTGTTCAGGTTGGAAATGTGTATTTTTGAATTCTACACTAGGACTCTCATCCCCAGAATAATTATTTCTGTCATATCATTTGTCCACTTTGGGAGATAGTGTATGTAGCCAATTAATTTGACTTTTCAGCCGAGTTCACCACAGAAGAAGACCTGGTACCTGTGATGTTATGCCGGTGCAATATGATTTGCATTTCTCAAAAACATAAAGGAATGTATTCAAAGCTGCAGACGTCCACCACTCTTGTTAATGCTGAGCTTTCTCCCTTGTCCCACACTTTAGGTTTAGGCTTCCTTGTAGGATGAAGCTGCAACAGCCAAATCCTCATTTTGTGTGCACAAAATGTCACGCTTTCCTGCTTCTTGTTTGCAGCTCATTTGCAGTTTAAGTGGTTGTTTGACTGAACATGCTTCCCCCAAAATGCCCTGTCACAAGTGTACAGCGTGTGTTTGAGACACACAGTGCACACACAGAGAAAATGCGTGATTTACAAATACGCAGGTTACCACAGCCCTGCTAGTGCTCGTGCGCAGCCTCCTACTCCCACCATTATTGTTATAAGTCATTGCAAGGGTTTTCTGTGTTTGCTCAACAGTTGGGGGGTGATGAGGGATTCTTATCTGTCCTTAACCAGACCTCTCAAAGCACCATCACACAGTCCTACATAAATACACTTACTGTATTATACAGAAACACACACAAGCCTCTCATATTCCAGCTGTAATCACTGCTATCTGCCACAGCTGGTCTCACAGATTAGGGCCACTGACATATCAAACACAGATTTTCAAACTGAAAATCAATTTGTTTGACCTCTTTGATTGATGCAACAGGACTGTGTATGGTTGTTTGCCCTCAAGGGCTTTCAATGTACTGAATGATGCATTTGAGGAGATGTGCGGCTTGCATGAAAGCACATGCACACAGATACACACACCCAATCAGGTGCTGGTTTAATGAACACAGTCTCTGCGTTTGCACAGACTACCTCAATGGGACCATGGGAATAAGTACTTTGATGAAAAATTGGTTAGAAATACAATTTTTTTTATTCTCTACTTTGATCAAAAATTCTATAAATGTAAAACTATTTTAACAGTATTGGTCTCTAGACTCAGATAAGATTTTTCATGTGTGATGTTTTGCTGGCTGTGGGATTGCTGAAAGACAAAGAGGAGCGTGGATCAGAGCTGGAGACAGAGAGGATTGACAGGCTCCAGCCAATGAGCACTCACAAGCACTAAGCTATATCTACTGCACATCTGTACAGTGACGTCAGAGTTCAGTGCACTGCAGCACACGGACAGGAGGGCAGGAGGGCCGCTGATGGCAAAGATCCTGCACGTGCGCAGCCCTGCCCTGTAAATGCCGCAGCAGGTTGGGCACAGTTTGTCACGACTTGCTGAGAGTTGGATGAGAAGACGGAATTTGTTCAGTTGATTATTGTTTTTATGAGTGCTCTTACTGTTATAATCAAACAGTGGCTGGAAATGTCTGCATGTGAGACCGATGCTACCTTCACTGCCATCAGGTGCCTCCCAGTGTGCTCCCAGTTTCACCAGCCAATCAGAGGCTTCAGCTTCAGAGCCCGTGTGGAGGTCTCTGCTACTATCCTGGGATGGGGATCCACTTCCCACAGTGCATCTCTTTTTAATTGACAGGGTTTCTTTAATTACTGCTAATTATTTTTTCCTTTGTTATCTTCTAAAATCATCTGATCTACCTCATTGTAAGGTTAGGCCCAGTGAATATCTAGCATTATAGTAGGGCCTTTTTGTTTATACTGTATTCTTAGGTCAGGAGTGTGACCTCTGACCTCTGCTCAGTCTGGTTAACGGGATCTGCTGCTTCACACCTGGAAATGCTGTTAACCTGCTGTGTCACGAACAGACACTTTGAAGTGTCCCAGAACCAAATCCCTGAGAAGAGCATGAGGCTAGCAGCGACTTCAAGCCACTCAGCCTAATCAAGCTCACTGAGCTGTGTCTAATAACGCAAAAACAAGCCAGGACATGAACTGCTTGTGACTAAACTAGATTTGATATCTGGATAACAGCTCAATGCTTTACAATTTGTTGCAATTATCATAGTCCACTTCATCAGGATACAAAGGATTAACATGAATGCTGGCACCCAGTTCAATGGAACAAAGAAAATCATTTCAGTTTTAAGACTTTTTTATTCGATGTCTTTTGATTGGACATAAAATAGAATTAAACCATTCACTTAAAGTGGATTATTCTCATGAAAAGGCCTCTTGATGAGACAAAATTGGATGAAAAGTGGAGACATGTCCCTTCTGGCTGAAAGTCTGGTAAAATGGAAGTAAATGCTTTGCTTCATATAAAAGTGCAGATAAAGGCTGCCTCTGGTCAATGGTCTTAAATTGGTTGAAGCCATTGTATTTCATAGAAACCTTAAAGTGCTTCAAGAAAAAAATAAAAATCAAAAAATCTATAGAGGTTTATATGGCAGGTCTGTGGAAATGCTTCTAAATCAAGAGCCAGCGAAAGGGGCAGAAAGGTTTCAGAGACAGCTCGATAATGGGGGGCGGCCTAAGATTTGCTGGTGGAAAGAAGACATGACCGTGCTTCTCTGTTTTTAGGAAGGTGCACCTGTGAGAGATGATTACCTGAAAATGTCCCAGTTCCAGGTCCCATTTGGAGATTATATTTCACATTGATTGGAGGTGTGTTTGTCAGCTAGATGAGTTTGGTTGCAGGACAAAGGCACACTAAAATTTTACTGCTGCTTTAGTGAAGGTGAAGGACTTCCCACCTGACAACATTGATTAAACAGTCAATCACTCAAACTGCCTCCTGTCCATCATGTGGATGAAAGTGACTGAGCCACTGACATAGAGAACTAGAGTAATCATTCATTTGGGGACCTATATTTACTGCCTTACTATTGATCTTTAGTGAGAGATTCAAATGGCTCCCCGACCTCCTCCCGCTGACAAAACAGACAAGTCCATCTTTCATACACTGTGTTTTGGACGCTGCTGCCTTCTCATCTTGTTCCACACAGGAAAGTGCCACAGTTCACAAATTCAAGCATCTGTCTCCTCCTCCAATCAATACGCAGCTACACTGCAAAAAATACACGTCATTTACTAATCCTGCATTCATTATTAAAATCATATCTTTTCTTCTCCGAAATAAAATGAGGAGCATTGAGACGTTTGCAATGCAAATATCGCCCTCTCTAAAATGCTTTGAACACAAAACGTATTTCTCGTTTATTTTTGTTGTCACTTTTAGTTTGGTTTAATTTTTTATCACACTGACTCTTTGAACACAAAGAAAATATGACAATAATTACTGTCCACTGACAAAACAGGCTATTTAGTTTTCACCTCTTTTGATAAAGAACTTGCAACAAAGGGACATTTTACAGTGTAAAAACAAAGCGAACTTGTGTCTGTGTCTGTGAGCCCGGCTGTGATGCTCTCACTGATTATTGGTGAAGCCAGAGGAGGAGGGAGGCGATAATCCGCGCACAGACGGAGCCGACGCGCTGGAGGTGCCGCTCGCAGCGGGCGTAGGGAGACCATGGAGCCGGCGTCTCTGCGCGGGGTTTAATCCCCAGGTGAATCGCTCGTAGGACACTCAGAGTAGTCATCTGCATGCAGGTGGGGGCGTGCAAACACAAACCAGAGTTACCTTGCTTTCACCTTTGTCAGCGTGGTTTGTTTTTCTCGGAGACTGCGCACCTCACGGAGTGCTCCGCCTTGTGATGCCGAGAGAGCAGCGTCGGGTCATGGCCTGATCCGAATCCTCGTTTCGGAGAGTTTTCGTCAAGCACACTGCGTCTGGCAGATTAAACAGCGGAGCAGTTCTGGATTGCTTGCCCATCAAAAGGATTATGATTTTCTCAGACATGAGTACGGGGACCAACTCCCCGAAGGTGCATCCACCGAACGGGACGAGGTTTTACACATTCCAGGCAAGTGAACTGTGCGTCATAACTCGCATGTCAAGTGCTTCTTGCAATGCTGTTTTTGTCTTCGTTCACTGTTTCATGACAGGATGCTTTGTGGCATATATAGAGGTTTGTCTGTAGACAGTAGGAAGCTGCTGGGTGTTTCCTACCTGACTCCCCGTTTTGTCTCAGTCCTTATTTTCCACGACTTTCTTAGATTTGTGTTCCCTTCTATCGTTTTAGGTGAGAGAGAGAGGTGTCAGATATACCCATAATGTGTCTGAACTGAGAAAAGTGTAAAGCAAAGTGGATGCTCAGGAGTACATGCAGACTGTATGTGCAATCAGTCATCATGGAGCCCATAAAGAAATCATAGTGTAAGGGACTCGAAATTCACATAATCCCACTTTAAAATGGCTAATACAAAAAGAACATTGCAACACACTCTCTAAATGAAGCATCTGACAGTGGGTTTGTGAGACACTGGAATGCAGAGTTCATCTTCATTTAGCTAGTGTATAATGATGTTCAATTATTCATGCTTCTCACTCCTATAATCTATATTTGATTTGTGCTCTAATTCCTGATTATATTCTCCATGGACAGATATGCACAGTGGCCTACATTGATTGCTGTACGTGCATATTTAAGCTCTGCCAGGAGCCCATGCATGGCAGTGGAGTGCTGTCAGTCGATACTGATGGAGTGTGTTCCACATGACTCTTGTAACCAAGCCAGCACTTTCTGTTTTTACTGTGGGTGGAAGGAAGAAAGGAAGGAAGGGAATGTTTCGCTGAGTGAGATTTTTGTCCTCGTGTTCTTTCCTAGATTCCTTGCAGCGGTGTTGACAAGCCTGCTGACTGTGTTTGAAAGGGAGACAAGATGATGGTGGTTGAGATTTTTGCATCCAGGTGCAGTCAGCATGATTTCAAAAGCCATAAGTGGAAAGTGGTTTGTGGGTTGCTTTTCAAGTGAGCTGAAGTGCTCATGGGAGCTGAGTTTTAGATGAGATGTTTATGTAGACATACACCTGCTTCATCAGCCTAATCACAATCTAGTCCAGCAACAGAGCTGAGTGTGTCGTGCCTACATGCAAGTTTAAGTTTTTTAATTTGTTTTGCAAAATGTGTTTATTTTATGACTCCTTGTTTTTAGAGTAAACGATGAAGAAAGGCAAGGCCCCGCAAAAGTCCAGTAAGGTACATTATCATTATTTCTGCTTCTTAAGTACTGTACCTTGTTTGCCTGCCCTCTAACCACTGAGCCACTGTGACCTTTGCATTTGAACTGCTCTGTTTGTGTGGGGCATTATAAACTTCAGCTTTGCCCTTTTCATGTCAAATCATTAATGAAGAAAGGCTCCCTGAGGGCCTGTACCTGTTGGAAGAAGCCCCTCTGATATAAAGTCAAAAGCTTCGCAGCTCACTGATTGTA